AGCTGTGCTTCCCAGGACACACTGCAGCAGTCCTCTTAGTGGGGCTGCTTCCCAGGCCTGACGTCCTAGCTCGGGGACACAGGAGACAAAGCAGAGAAGGGGGAGGGCGTCACCCCCAAGGATGCTTCATCTCGGTCCACGGGATGGAGAGATGTGTTTAAGGCACTCAGAATACATCTAACCTAAGAATGGGTCTAATAGACCTGGTCTAAAGCTCACCGACCAATATTTAACAGGGTGCTGGAAAATGCCAAGTGCTATGCAGGTAGAAGAAAATGTGTGGGTAGGGTCCCCCAACCCAAGCAACTTACAACTGCATGGGAGAGACAGACTCGATTCTTTTACAACCTCATTTAAGGCAGTGTGCCTTATGATGGAAGTGCTAAGCACATAGACATAAAGAAGAGGCTGAAGGAAAGGCTTTGGGGGGAGGGGCTACGGGACTTAGCAGGCTGCGGTTGCACTCTTTGCATGTCTGTTCTCTGTGGCAGGCTGAGTACCTTGAAGGAAAATCTGCTTTTAGATAGTGTGTCTTGCCACACTCCTGTTGGAATAAATGGTGTCCAAATAAATTAGGGGGCTGAATCAATGTTTACCGAGTTAAAAAAGGAATTAATATGAACAGATAAAGTGGAGATGAAAATAAAATCATTCTGGACGTAGGAAAGCTGGAGACAAGATTTACAGAAACCTTGGATGGGGGCTTTGAAGCTTAAAGTTATTTCTGTCATTAGTGTTTTTGAGTGAAGGAGTGAGTTTGTGTTTATGATTTTGAAAGAAAGAATTCAGTGTGAAGAATGCCCTGGGAGAGGGAAGACTTTTAGGCAAGGAAACCAATGAAGATATGGGAGCTTTGCCTCCCCAGATTGATTTGAAATATCTTAGAATTGTAGAAAGCTGGATAGCACCTTGTGCAGATCTGGCTTCTTGGCCTGAAGTTGTCCCAGGTTGGGAATGATGCAATAATAGTAGCTCAAGGCCACTGGATGACTGCCAGACCTCAATTAGAAATTGCACCTATAGGGTGACCTACATTTTTCCATATTTTTCCAAGCAGGAAACTTCGCCAGATGGCCCATGTCAGGAAAATCTGTCATATCTTGCAAGGCAGGCTTTACCCTTTCACCATCAAATGAGAAAGTAGTCTCTTCCAGAAGTGGAAGAGGCCTGACACGTCCCTCTAACTGACCACAGTGTAAAGCACAGACGCCTCAGTGGGCAGGTCCACCAGAAGTCAACGCCACTGGGCCTCTTTGCACTTAACTGACTCTGTAACGTTCAAAGGGATGGTTCAGACTTATCTCCTTCTTTTGCTGTGGTGGAGAGGAGGTTGGGCAATGCCAGCTGACATTTTAGCTGAGACTGTCACTTGTCTCCCAGTGTCTTTCCTGCAAGAACGTTCCCCTTAATCCACACCCCCAATCCTCTCAGCGTCACCAACTTCCCACGCTTTCCTTGGCGTGCCGCCGCATATTTTGCCAAGAGCAATGAAGATGTGGCCAAAGGGATCAGTAGTAGTGTCCCCAGCTCAAGTGAAGATGTAACAGGCCGCAGTGTTGGTACCCACGCAGGTGTGAACGGGCTGTTGACACTGCATCCTGACACCACATGGGATGGCAGCTTCAGACTCAGGCTCGTGGTGGGGACTCAGATGAGCAGTCCAACAGGACCGGAGTGTCCTGTGGATGCCAGGCCTTGAGAACCCTTGGTCTCCATCACCAGGGCACCTAACAGATGTGGCTTTATGTAGTGCGTGTCAAGGCTTCCATCCACTAAGGGAGAGGTGGCAACACAGGTAGGCGGGAAGCTTCCTAATAACGATGCTCATTAAGCTAGGGGCTCCCTCCAGCTGTCTCAGGCACTCTCATAACGTGACCTTAGAGTGCGTGTAGGACGAGCTCCGGTGCGCTGCTGAGGACAAGGGCAGCAGTGTTTTCACCACTGGAGCACTGTTGTCCTGCCTCAGCTGTGCCACACATATGCGCGTGCGCGTGCGCGCACACACACACACACACACACACACACACACACACACACACATATATGAACTGCACGTACGCCACAGTTCCCCAGGAAGTGGTCTCAAGGGAAGGACATTTGATCCTCTTCACACCCTCCTCCTACTTGCTGGCTGGAGGTGGGGGATTCACTGACGTATCGGCAGAGCAGCCAGATGCAGGCAGCCTCTGCTCGCGCTGATGAGAATGAGACCACCGGCGTCCACACCGCCGGCCCGCAGCTGGGACCTAAGACTTCCTGTGTCAACATGACTGACTTTTTCTCTAGGAAGTTCTTGTTCAGGAAGATGGGACTGTAAAGCTATTTGCTTCAGGAGATTTGGGAAAAACAATTTCTCTCAACAAAAGATGTCTCATCTTGGCAAGCAGCCTCTTCCCAGGGAGATAGATCGCTCACCTGGGCAAACAGCTTGTTTGTTAGACAACTGTTTACTCATCAAGACTCACATCTCTAACTGTGTTCGCCAGGCCCAAACTACCACATCATGAACTTGGCCTGATCCTTCTTAGACCCCAGCCTTGGGACCTGTCCCAAACCTTGGGAGGCCTGCCTTGGATGCTGGAGCCAAGCCCCCACACCTGCAAGTATCTGCCTGCACCTCTCTCAGCTAACAAACTGAGTGTGTCTTCAGGCAGCCTCTTGTCAAGGGAGTGCTTGCCCGGACTGCGGTCGGCTAAATCAGCTTAACTTTGTTCCCTGGCAGGTTCTCTGGTGGTCTTTGTGGGGGCTTGACAGTTGACAGTGATCATGAAGGCACCATACCAGCCCTGGACTTCAGTCACATGAGGGACATAAGCTTCTGTGACACTTTTACTTTGGGGTTTTGGCCACTGGCAGCCAAACCTGATCCTGATATATTTTCCCTTCCACACTGTACTCATCTTTATGTTCACTCAGTGTCTGATACATAATTAGAGCTCCATTGCACATGTGTTAAAAGGACAAGAACTGGATCTTTTCATTTAACTGCAGTATGTGGCTCAGTAGAGTTTCTTGTAGATTTTGGACATCTGCCTAAACAAGCAAATATACCATAACTTATACATCTAAACAAGTGTTGTTTCCTTCAAATTATTCACCTTGGGAATCTGTTCATATATCTTAATGATACTACTATTGCTTGAGACACTTTCGAATATCTCTTTTGTAATTATGTCTTGATTTGCCATCCTCAGGATGACCAATCATTTTTATGCAAAAAATCATAGATAATTTCAAACATACAACAGCAGATAGAATAATGCAATGAGCAATTATAAATTTAGTAGCAATCTTATTTTATCAAAGCCACAATGCCTCCCTTTCTCCATCAGGATTATTTCAAAACTAAACCCAGACATCACATTATTTCATGCAAAAATATTTCAGCATGTGTCCCTAAGATATAAACTGGCTGCTTTAAAAAACATGAGCCTTAATACCCTTATCCCACCAAAAAAGGTTAATGATTTCTTAATATCATTATTTCCCTATTTCATAAAAATCTACTTTATTTGTTAAAATCAAGATGGAAATAAAAATTCATATATTGCAATTGGTTGGTATCTGAGGTCTGTTTCTTCTTTAAAAAGTTTTAAATATACTATGTATAGAAAAAACTCATAGGAATCATAAGTGTATGGCTTAATGAATTTCCTAATCACTTTTATTCCATAGATTGGCCCTTTCTCTCTTGTTTTCCTTTGGATTTATTTGATAAAGAATGTCATGTAGGGTTTCCCATGGTCTGTATTTGGCCAGTGGTTTCCCCATGGTATCATTTGGCCTGTTCCTTTGTTCTCTATTTCCTGTGCATTGGTGGTTCCATACAGAGGCTGATCAGATCAGGTCCATTTTTGGAAAGCCAGTTTCATAGGCACGGCTATTTATGCCTGTTGGGAGGCCCATCATTCCTGGGTTGTCTCTTTCTCAAAGCATCTTTTGGAGGTGGATGTGATTTTTACAGACAGGCAAAAGCCAGTCCAAACTGAGTCCAGTTAGCAGTGTGGGTGATCAAGCTGGAAAATGATGGTTTGAATAGAAAAACAAGGTGTGATCAAATAATGAATGATTTTCTTGTGTGGCTGGTAAACCTGCCCTGAAGTTAATTCCAAAACAGTTCTAAAAATGTTCTGTGCAGTGGCATCAAATGTACAGCCACCAGAGTGACTCATGCAAAAGGAACAACAGTGACATTGATGGAGAAATTGTATGTTGGCCTTGCTTTGTGGGTGTTCATGCGTGGGGTCCCTTTCAAGTCAGTAGTTCCCCTGCAGGACCCTTGGGTGTGTGCGCGTCACACTTGGGTTTCAAAGTTGGAGCTGGGACTGAGGCTTTCCTGCGGAAATGCAGCCCTCACGTCCTGAAGGGCAGACCCTGGCCAGCGTTGCCTCCACCGCAGCCCGACGCGTGGACAAGATGCTGCGGGTCTCTCCCCAGGACCCTCAGCCCCTCTTGTCGCCTTGTCTGCCTTCCCCAGCGCAGTCAACCAGAAATGAGGAAGCAGGGACGCCCTTGCACCGACCACACCGGCAGAGCCCCGGAGGTTCAGGCCCCGCTAGGCTGCCTGGCCACTGCGCAGACTTCCCCATCCCAACTCCCCGCAGCGCCGCCCGCCACCAAGGTTGGGTTTTGCCCCGCTACCCCCTGCCACTCGCGAGCACCTCCCCTCACCCTAGTCCCGCCCCGTGACGCAAGCTGGGAGGAGCCAGCGGCTATTAGCAAGATCAACATGCGTCAGAGCCGGCGCCTGCTCCGAGAACCTCCCACGCCAGCCTCTCGGAGTTGGCGCCTGCGCAGTTCGTCCCGCCTGCCGTTGACTCCCCTTTCTCCCCTTCCTAGCAACCGTCGGCGCACCCGCCTCCGCCCCTCGGCCGCGTTCGCGCACGCGCGCCCCTTCCAGCCGCACGGCCCCGCCCTCGGCGTCACCCGTAACAACCACTGGAGCCGCGCTGCGCCCCTCCTGCTCCCGCCTCCCCTGCCCACTCTCCGGAACCGGCGGCGGAGCGGCGGCGGCCGGCAGTGGGACGGCGACGGCACCGCGGAGCTGCCGGCATGAGCACTCCTCGCCACCTCGCGGCCCGGGCCTGGCCCTTCTGACGGAAGGTAGGCGCGCGTCGCCGCGGTGGGCTCCTCCGAGCGCGCCCCCGGCCCGGCGCCCGGGCCCCTCGCGTCCGCGCGGCGCTCTTACGCGAGCCTCCCCGCCGGCCCGCCTTTCCCTGGCCCCCCGGCCCCGCGGCCCTGCTGGGATCCGCCCTCCCCCAGCCCCTCGCGTCCCTGTGCCGGCCGCCCCGCCCCCACCCGCCGCCCTCCTCTCGGGAGCCCTCCGGCGGGAAGCCGAGTTTGGGGGCCGACCCTGGACTCCGGGTGGGCAGGGGCCGGGACTCGCCGAAGCCGCCGCGCGGGCCCCTGACCCATCCGAGGGCCTTACCGCCCCCGAGCCTGCTTGGGAGGGACTCACTGGTCTTGCCGTTGGCTCATTTTTAAGCACCAATTGTCATGCAACAGAGGCTGCCGGGGCCCAGGATGCCACTTGGCCGTTGCAACTCCGGATTCCCACGTAGGACTTTTTTTCTGGACCAGAGCATCCGAAGCTGGGAACTGGCAGGAGTTCAGAAACTCGTGAATTAGCAGCGTAGCCACTTTGGGTTCCGCCGGGCAGTGGACTCCCGACTGGATGTCACAGTGTCTTAACAGAGCGTTCGGCTTTTTCACATCGTACCCCCACCCTGCTCTTTGCACCTGATAATCACCCTCTCCTTGTCTAGGAGATACCTTAAAATTAATTTTCCCCATTAATACTTTAAAAGATTATTGAATTCCTGCTGTGCGCCCGCACTATCCGGTTTGCAAAACTAAATAGAATGTGGTCCCAGCGCACCACAACCTGCCAGCCGCAGAATCAAGATTGATGAGGGCTTCCAGTTGAGTGTGGCGGAGAACTCAGGCGTTTGGCTTGGATTCTCATGATTTTAGAGCTGGAAGTCTTTCAAGATTATCTCACGCAAAACCTCATTTACCAGAGGTAAAACTGAGGCCATGGGAAGTCAAATGGACTTGCTTGAGGTCACCCAGTTATTCCTTAGCTGTTTTCGTACCGTGAGTGCAGTTTTTCACCATAATTTGCTCCTTCTGACAGGTATGCTAAACTAACATAGTAGAGAAAGTACCAGACCTGCTTAAATGTAATAATATAGATACAAATCTGAAATAAAATATATCTTCCTCATTTTTTTTTTTGCTGTTACAGCTACACTTTGTGGTCCTTGAGTATACTCCATTTTGTACCTTTGAATATTCCCTCAGCATATCCAGCATGAAATAACATTCTTAATGATTATCCTCGACAGGACAGGTAGGCTCTTGGCATTTTTTTCTTTCTTGCTTTTCAGTAGAGAAGTCAGGTCACACACGAGTGTGTTTTCAGGAAAATCCCCCATGGGCTGTGACTGGAGTGTGAATGTGCACTTCAGAGGATTCCTTGACTTGTGAAGGAAGCTCCAGCACTTAACTGATGGCTTAAGGAGTGCAGCTGCCTAAGGGTGCAGAGTTCATTGGCGCCTCCAGCCAGCGTTTGGTGTCCTTGCCATTTGAAGACAAGTCTGAAATTGTAATCTAGTAAGTTAGAAAACGGGATTGACAAGTTTCCTTTGACACTAGCTTTTGAGGAGTAGTCCATTATTTGGGACACACTAGAGTATCTTTTTTTCCACTTTTATTTTCATGTGTCCTGGGACTATGTTGAAGTGCCACCATTTTTATTTGGCATCTAATGGAAGTTTTTGAAAAGAAAATGATTCAAGAACTAATTGTATTGATTATCAGAATAATCGAACCAGCATTTCACTGCTAGACAAAGTCCAGGTCATCTCATCCAGCATATCCCGTGGAGATGCTGTGGGGGGCAACTGGGGTAGTGGAGTTCTCCAGCCCTAAGACCTGTGCTGTCTCCCTCATTCCGCTTGGAGTTTTCTTACTGTCCTATTACCTTCTCTTCCCTTGTATAATTAAGTATCACCTTTTGCTTTTTGTGTGCATAGAATTATGACATATTGAAGTCCCCTTCTACTGCTTAGACTCTTGTATTATGTGTAAGTGCAGACTTAATGTTTTCCACCTCATGGTTATTTATCAGTTATGTTTGTTTTTTGCAGGTGTGAGAGGATTGCTATTGTATTACAATCATGGTGCAAAAGTATCAGTCACCAGTGAGGGTGTATAAACACCCCTTTGAGTTGATTATGGCTGTAAGTACTTTACATTTTAAATTGCTCTCCAGCTTCTCATTTTTTTAAGTATTTGAACTTGATCTGTAAACTGATGTTTATTTTATTGTTTGTCTCCATTGCTTCACTTTTACTTTGTTTTTATGCTTATATCTAGAGTTTGTGAAATGTTTTTAAACTATAATTATCTGAAAATCAAAATCTGCATGTTTTTAAAAAATGCACCTCAGGGTAATGTATGAATCAGAGTTAATTCTTCCTTCAAAAACACGGAAGTAGAATTCTTACTAAATACTTTTTCCTCTAGATTTTGCTCTTTTGTTTGTCTGTTAGAGTAGAAAAGGGATGTGGAGCGTGGTTTCTTCCCTTCGCTGCACGTTTGGAGGAGTGCGCTGGCTAGGACTGAGCATGTAGGATGGAGTTTAACCTGCATTGTTCTAACGACTCAGCTGAATGAGTTTTTCCCCCTTAATATCAAATTCATGAGTCGTATTAGAATTGCATGAGTCGGGTAACTAAAGTTAATTTTCTTTGTTATTTACCTGAAGACTTTGGCTATAAATAAGCATTTCTCTAGGTGCAGACCGAAGCAAACCTTTTTCCAGTCACTTCTAGATTCCCGTGGGCTTCCTTTCCTTCCCTCCTCTCTCCTGTTACTACTTAGGTACAATATAATAGACACACGGGAAATGCTTCAGCACTCTGTTGGTTCAGAGTGCGGAAGGAGATGCACAGTTCAAATTTAAATTTAAGAAATTTGGGTTTTTTAAAAAAATTGAGATATAATTTACCTACAGTGAAATGGTCACATGTTAAGTATACAGCTTGATCAGTCCTGTATTTCCCGTAAATGCTAGGACTGCTCAATGTTTTCTGTTAATCGCTTAACAGAAAGGCTTGTTTCTGGTTTGCACCTTGTGTGTGCTGGTTTGGCTTCTGGGTGTGGGCCTCAAAGACCCAGTCCAGCGAGCTTAGAGGAGAAACGTGTTGGTGGGAACACATGGGTGTGATGGGAATCGCACGGAAACCCAAGAATGTGAGCTGGCACGGGCTGCACTCCAAGAACCTGGTGTTGGAGAGTGATTCCCAGCAGCTCTGGGGGCTCGGCGGCACTCGTCCCTGGAACCTTACCCGTGGGGCTGCCACGTGCTGCATGCTGCCCCCCCCCCCCGTGCTCCCCACCAGCTGGCCGCTGTACATGCTCCCGCCTTTCTCTCCTCTGTGGCTTCAGTTCCTGTGCTTTTTCAGCTGGTCACAACTCCTCTGGCCTCAGTTCAACTTTGTCGTCATTTTCCTGCATTCTTTCAGTTTCTAGGTGACCAGTTCTTGTCACCTTTCCTACCTAGTTCAGATCCTATAGAGACTTGATCTGGCTATGTTCCCATTGGAGGTTGGTGGTTATTTGCCAGGGTCGGATGTCTGACCCTTTAAGTTGGCAGGGGCTGGGGGGTCAGGGACAAGTGTGGGGAGTGGTGGAGGCAGAAGGCAGAGGGCTGCCCCATGAGGCTGAGTGTGGGGAGCAGCCACCATGTGGGGTGTTTAGGTTTTCCATAATGTAGAGTACAATTTTAAAAGTTTGATGTCGTTTGAGGTGAAGGTTGGTCTCCTTTGCAAACACTAGATTAATAAAGAGGTATTTTGATTATCTAATGTTCAACTTTCTTGCTTTCCTTACTTTATTATTTTCAAAATGGTAAGTTTTGCCTTGCCCATTTTATGCATGGATTTAGTGAAGAATTTGAAGTTCAAATTCTGAACCATTCCCTGATCTTAAATTGCTTTTGTTTTGAGGCAGTAGTAATATTCTTTTGAGTTTCAGAAAATATTTTTTAATCTGAAAATGAAATATGTTGCCTTTTCACTTCTAGAATTGGTAAGAAACTAGAATGTTGAGTCTTTTGTGATTTTTGTGTGGCGTCATTTACTGCTTTTTCTGACTGTTGCTGTATGACGTAAAATCCTCAGTGTTTACCTTACTTTATCTCTTTTGTTATGGAGGAAAAACAGTAGTAGAGTTGCTCCGAAAATGCTCTCTTCCGTTGGTTCAGAGTGCGGAAGGAGGTGCACAGTCCAAGAAAGAACAGAGCTGAAGCTTCGGTGAAAATAATTGTGAGAACCTCAGAGAGGGATTGTGTCTCAGTAATCACAGCATGTGGCAGGAACAGAAGAGTGTGTGGCAGGGGTCAGCTGGGGAATTGACAGGTGGCTCCAAGTTCTGATTTACAGGGGTCCTGTGAGGAGGATGGGGGGAAAATGCCACTCAGTGAACCTAATGCCCTGTTTGTTTTCCCAAGAGTGTTACTGTAATTTAGCATTGCCTGAAAATTGCTTAGGTTGAAATTGCCTAGTGAAAGCAGGTAAAAGGTGGGTATCAAATGTTAATTGCATTTTGATGGATTTGGTGAGATTTGTCATTTGTTTTGGGATCAGTATACTGGTAGCATTAAGAACTCATGTTAATGTTCTCATTAACTCATTTGAATTAAAAATGGTAAATAAACAAACTTGAAGTAAAGATCTTTTGACGGGCATCTGTGGCATTATTTTGTTAGATGGTAGCTCAGAAACAATTTTAGTGCTTCAGTGAGTTGAGAAATCACCTAACTCAGCCTCCCTTTGAGGGTGAGGAATCTGAGACTCAGAGAAGTTAGTTTACACACTTAGATAGCAGATAGCATAGAGATCTGAATCTTGAGTTAATGCTCTCCTCCCCCACAATGATGTGTGTCCTGGAATGTTCTACCAAGGTTCTTGTCCATGAAGATGTCTTTAACTTTTCCAGGCTCAGCCAAAACTTTTCCTGGGGCTGTCCTGCCTGACTCGGGAGGAGAATTCAATCAGTGAAGGACATTCCAGGCGATTGTGCCTGAAAGGGTTTGTGGTTTCACACAGGCATAGGCATGTGACCCCACAAAGAAGGAGCTTTCTAGAATGGGAAGTGTGGTTCTGATATGCCTGGGTTAGGATGTTTCATTTAGAAATTTCTAAGGTAAAACACAAATTTTAAAGCTCAGACATTTTTGAGTACAGCTTCCCCAGTCCTGGTTATAATGGCTCCTTAATAAATGATCCAAAGAACAGTAACAGAGCTAGAGAACCAGTGGGAGAGAAGTGCAGGGCCAAGGGCGGCCTGGGCAGAAGAGCCCGGGCTCTCCTGCCGAGCACACTGCGGGAGAAGAAAACCCAAGTGTCAGTCCTGGAGCAGGTAGAGCTCTGCACACACTCCCAGGGAGGCTGGGGCTCGGCTCCGATCCCTTTCCGCCTGTGTTCAGCTGTCATTTTGACCGTTTGGAAGGCATGATAGGAGAGGCTCCACTGACTGTACGGTCCCACTTCTGCTTGGGCCTTTATTATCTCCGCAGAGTTGGTCACAGGGCTCTCTCCTCTTCACCCACCTCCTCTCCCCAGTTTTCCCATTCTCTCAATACTGCCATCCTTCTCCCAGAACCCACTTCATTAGCTGTATCCCCAGCAGGCACATCCTTCAGATTGTGCCTGCAAGTCCTGCCCCTCTGCCCCTTTCTCTGCCAGCACCCCATTGTTCCTGCTTCAGCCCGCATGGATTTGGAAGGGGAGACCAGAGTTGGCTTGTTATTTTCTTACCTGTGTTAACCCTTTAGGACGTCCTGCATTCTCTTGCTGGACACTGTCTCCACCTGCCAGTCCTCTGTTTAAGTGATCTCTTACTCTCTGCCGTATCTGTTCTGAACTCCTTTGCCTTTTCTTCAAGGCCCTTCATCTTCCACACTTCACTTAAACCTTATTTCATAAAGCAGGCAAACTTACCAGCGTGAACTTTGAAATCTGTGCTCTCCGGTTGCCATAGACAATGTCTTTTCCTGTCCTCCCCCCTTTCTTTCGACACTTCCTTCCTTGCCTTAGATGTTAATGTTTGCCTTTCCGTGTCTGTCTCTCCAAATCTTGACCTTGTTGACCTACCCCACTTACCTGATGCCTCTGAGATGCCCTTCATGTGTTTTGCCTTTTCTTCTGACTCCTCTTCAATGGTGTATTCCCTGATTCTCTTGAAATCAGGGTTTCTTCCTTCTCAGAGGTTCCTGGGTGTTGCTTTCTGTCTATTTTGCATGTTTCTCCGGGGCAGTGACATTATTACTCCTGTTCTCAGGCATTGGTGTTGAGCACATAGTACTCACTCACCTCTGTTTGATCAGCTACTATCTGTTTCACACGAGTTTTGAGTATGAGGACTTGGGAAGTGGGTTTTCTGGAAACTCAGACCTGAACTGTAAATGATCTGTTTTCAGACGAGGGATTTATGTGTTCTCCATGGAAAAGATGTAACGTGCCATGACCCTTAAGCAGCCAATGCCTCCCTTAGGAGGGAAGCCCTTTTGTGAATAAGTTGGCTTTTTTGTTTTTTACATCTTTACAATTGTGCAAACATCGTAATGTAGTTTAAGTGATGTATTTTTATAGGTTGAATAACCTAAAAACCTACTTGCCAGTGTACAGTTGTTGATTAGGTGGCCCACCACAAACAAAATTTGTTTTTGATCTTCTTTCTCATTCTCTTGTTTTATGTTTGTTTCACTCTGATTTTTTTTTTTAGTCCTTTTCCCCTTTCCTCTCAGATTATCTCATGGCTCCTCTAGGGAAGAAGAAGAGATTGGCTGTGAGAGTGGGCACACCTCTAGGCCCTGCCACAGACCAGCTCTGCAGCCCAGTAACTGGGCCAGAGTTGTGAGGTGACAGAATTAAGCAGACCACAGATAGAAAGGTGGGCAGGGCAGGGCATGTAATGCCCATGTCTTCCCCTCTCCCTTTCTGACATGCAGCCCTTCTCCTGTCTCCACATATGAGGTGAAATAAGATCAGTTTATATGTAAGTAAATGAATCTGCTGTGAATGTGTATGTGTCTTTCAGATTAAGTGGACATTTATATTTATCTTTGAGTTTTGTTTCATTCATTCAGATTACAGACATCAGAACAGCCAGGGAGCTCTGGGGGGAACCCTGAGTAGATTTGTGCATCAGAGGTGGGAGTCACAGTGAGTTAAAT